TTGATGGCCCTAAATGATTGCTCTCACTCCGACGTTTGTGGCGATATGTAACATGTGTAGCGCAATTGTCGTTTTCGTGCGCTGAAGCATATTTACGTTTATATGTGCGTAAACATATAGGGGTGGGGGACTTAAAAAGTTTTGGGTTTTTTTAAAAACTTTTTATATATATATATTTTTTTTTTTTTTACACTTAGTTATACATATAACCGATCGGCGGTTATAGAGCCGCTGATCGGTTGTATGTGAAACAGCCGGTAACGGCTGTGCAGAACGTACGGGTTTTTCCTGCCCGTGCGAGCAGGAAAAAAATGCCATCTGGAGACGGCAACCCGCAAATGTGAGTCTGCCGTCCGTCTGTGGTTGTATGTGCTATTTTTTTGTATGCATAAACCATCACCCAAAACTTTAAAGTTCTAATAACTGAAGTTGAATTCTGGAAAAACCAGATAAGTGTGTTACTGGTGTGCTTTTTGTATTTCATCCAGATGTGTGCAGTAATCAAGTAAGAAACTATGCCTCCCCGCAGGAACTTCCTGTACTAATAGAACAGTCACTGCTACTGTTTCCTTGTGCCAGTAACTGGTCTTGTATCCGCCCCTTCCTGTAATTTTCTGCAGGCAGCCTGTAGTGGGTGTGGCCTGCTCGGTCCCACCCAGAGCTTTGCTCTCTGCACAGGATATATGTTACTGCTACTTTTCCAAGATAATAACTGCCTTTGTAAAGACTTTTGGTGCACACAAAGTCCATTTATATCATTTGTGGTTACTGAAGAATTTATTTAACTAAACGTTTGTGTATGGAGTTCAGCCGTAAACATTTAATAAACACTTCTTTTTCTCTCCCCCTCCAAATATCTAGGATACTTTAACCGTCCTTGGCAATGGGAGAAGATAAAAGCAAACTGCCGCCATATAGTTCAGTTTGGTTCCACAGATGACCCATTCCTGCCATGGAGTGAGCAGCAAGAAGTGGCTGATAACCTAGATGCAGATCTGCACAAATACGATGACCGCGGCCATTTCCAGAACACAGAATTCCATGACCTACTGAATACAGTGAAGAAACTGATCCCAAATTCTACATAAACATTCGAAATACTTTCACTGTTATTTATAATAATAAAAAAAAGCCATTTCAGATTAAAGTCGACCTTGAATTTACTAAAACTGGAGCACAGTCTATACAGCATAGATGGAAGAATTTCACATTGGCTATTGTATTCACACAGCTATGGGTGCCGATGTCAATAGGATCACTGCATGCTCCACGCCACCATAAACGATCGAAAAGTGGCAGGACAGGCACCCGATCACGTGGTAGGCAATCAGTGGTCATATGATAAGGATTCTGGTAGTAATTCCCAGTTAGAGGGCCAGCAGGATGCAGCAAGAAAGAGTTAAAGAGACACAGTCACCTTGTCCATGCAGGTGTCTCATACGCACCTTGTCTGCACTCTTGTAGCTTCTTTGCTGGGTCGGTGACATGGGGGAAGCGGGAACACTATTCCCATAGTCAAGTGACAATGCTCCAGCCTAGCAATTACATCTCACAAGCTCCCCATATCTGAAAGTGCTGGGTATTCTCTCTGCATGTAGAAAGGCAAAAACTTGCAAGGGAGCACAGGTAACGTATAAGGGGGGGTTAGGGGATGCCCTTTGCAAGGTGAGAGTGTCTCTAAAAATCAGCTACTGTTCTTATAAGTATGCTCCCAGAGATGAAGCATGGGAAACCCAACAAGAAGTACAGTTCAGGAGGTGGTAACCCCACCACGATGTATGAGGTCTCTCCTCATCAACAACTGACAAACATGCAAAACAAAAGTGTTTTGTTATTTCCAGACAGTTTGAACAGAGTAAGTTACACTTCATGTGCCCAAATTGCAGCTGTCCCTGGCCTGAAAAAAGTAATAGTTGATATTTGTCAATCTATTTACTCTCCATATTACAGTTCTTGTAGCATAGTACGGAAAAAAAATTTCTGCTTCTACCCTTAAACCAGAACTCCAGGGGAAAGTATTAACCCTTGCAGTGGTGCTACCCCTGCACTGCACAGGTTAAGTGTTTGTTATGGTCTAGGGCTGAAAATAAGTTATATTCACCAGAACTTCTGAGCTGGCCGGCTGTAAAAGCTCTCCCTCCAGCTTGTCTTCTCTGCTGAAGCAAAAGGTATGTCCCTTGGCATCCTCACGTCCCTATACACTGCATAAAACGTGATGACTTACAGGACCTTAGACCGCTGCAGCGAAGGGTCGGGGGATTTGCTTCAGGGACCAGTCTAACAGCAAGCCAGCTCAGATCGGGTGAGTACATCTTTTTTTTATTTTCCTCCTTAGACACAAACAAGTCCTTTAAAGGGTTATTAAACCATCATTTGTTTTTGCATATATCTACTGCTAGCAAGCCGCCCAAGAAAGTAGAACATTTCTCGGGCGTCCACCAAGGATCTTTGGACGGGCGCATGCGCAGTTCAGATGTTTGGCCGGAGAGACACAAGATAAGTCTATGGAGCAGCATGCACCCGCACAGACTACGTGGCACATGAGAGAAGAGGAGTCAGCGCTGGATCAGAGACCCGCACCAGCGCTGGAGGGACAGCTAAAAACTATAGGAAAGAGGAAGATGATCGGATTAAGAGGCATCATTTAAGGCAGGGCTCAAAATTTCAAGTCCTGAGCTACTAGCCAGGCCTTAAGAGTTACTAGCCACCAGTTGCCCCACCTTACCCTGGCCCGGCCTTAACTCCGCCCCTAAACACACCCTCTTAAAATAACCTTATGATAATTATTATCTTATGATAGTTGCCGCTTGTAAACAGCAGATTAGGGATTCCTGCTGCAGGAAAACACAAGTTCCTGACACAGGAATATCTCATCACACCTGAAATATACTGTAGGTGTGAGTGGGGCCTAATATACACATACACCTGCCGATTATCGTACGATAATCGGCAGGTGTATGGGCAGCGTGCGACCGCTTCTACTGTAAGCTCGTACGACTTTCGTCATCCAAGCACGCTGGAAAACCTGCCAAAAATTTTATGATTTTTGGCGGGTTGGTGGCGTGGTCGGAAGACGAATGCCGCACGGGCCGCTCAGCACTGCAATCATCGGAATAATACGCTCATCATAAAATAATACGCTCCCCCCTTACTAACCCCCCCACACACATAAAATAATACGCTCCCCCCTTATTAACCCCCCCACACACATAAAATAATACGCTCCCCCCTTATTAACCCCCCCACACACAAAA